TTTGGCACAACCTAGAAGATTGAAAATTTACCTATTATGATGAACGAACTGCATTTATTGTAGGAACATAACCCTCCCGACCCCTCGGGACACAGAAAGCCTTGAATACAGCAGAACCAGCAAGGTTCTCCTGTGGAAGCAGCAGGGAGCCCATGCTGGGAGTCTGCAATGCCTGAACACCATGCAGCACACCTCTGCAGGTGCTTTCTGCAATCCAACATAGCACATGGTTTTGGGACAGAAAAGAGACAGGGCAGGTATGGCAATCAGTGCAAATTCGCCTTCCTTTACACTGAGGGAGGACTGTGGGGAACAGCTGGAGCAAAGGCTACTTAAGCCAGAGAGAACAGTAAAGTAACTCGGAGTAAAGTAACTCGGAGAGGAGATTGCATTCCCACTCAAGCCACACAGAGGTGCCAGCACACAAAGGGGTGGATGCAGGATTTGGATCCATTATTCTTATTTATGTAGTACCATACGTCTGCATGATCTTTGTTGACACAAAATCTGACAAGTTCCTGTCCCCAAAAATCTTATAATCTAAATTAGGTAAAAAAACACCACATTGTTTTCAAGAGGGAACAGGAGGGGAAAAGAAACCATGACAGAGAAGGTATACAGCAGCAAGTTAACTGTTATGTTATTTCTGAGCCCATTACTAATGATGTTCCCCACACACATTTTTTCCCTAAAGCAGAAACATTATTTATGATGCTGGTACCATGAGACGCCATTGCAAGAGTTCCTACTTATTCATATAGTGGTATAACAATCTGCAATTATTTAGTGTATACATTTTTAAAGAACTTTCAAGATAGAACATGTCAAGTACAATTAAAATCACTTATTGACAATGTAAGAAAGAAGAAAAAGAAGATGGAATATGCTCCTGTAACCAAATCCAAAAATAACAGAAGGTACTGGAATCAAAGCATGGTCTCTGGCAACTGTTAGGCCACCAAACTGCAAGACAGTAGAGACAAATTTTCACACAGAATAAAAACAGGCACGGGAGCTACAGAACAACAAAATAATTCAAGTTACCATTGGCCACATTCTAGATTAAAATTTCAGAGATGAATCTTTCTTTGGACATTCTTCTGACAATTTTTAAAATAAATTAGCACATACAAACAGCAACACCTCATTAATATTAATAAAACCAAAACAAACCCAGTAAATGTGAAGGGTAAAAAGGAAGAGGAGATAAAAATGTATATAGGTGATCACATAGAACAGGGGTAGGCAACCTATGGCACGGGTGCCAAAGGCGGCACGCACGCTGATTTTCAGTGGCACTCACACTACCTGGGTTCTGGCCTCTGGGGAGCTCTGCATTTTAATTTAATTTTAAATGAAGCTTCTTAAACATTTTAAAAACCTTATTTACTTTACATACAACACTAGTTTAGTTATGTATTATAGACTTATAGAAAGAGACCTTCTAAAAACGTTAAAATGTATTACTGGCACACGAAACCTTAAATCAGAGTGAATAAATGAAGACTTGGCACACCACTTCTGAAAGGCTGCCAACCCCTGATTTAGAAAATAAAGTTATGATAAGCAGGATTCTTTTCTAAGGTCCTACTGGCATATAGAGACAGCGGGTAACATTTTCAAAAGAGACTTAGGAGCTTAAGTCCCATTAATATTCAATGAGACTAAGGCCAGGTCTACACTAACCCCCCAATTCGAACTAAGATACGCAACTTCAGCTACGTGAATAACGTAGCTGAAGTCGACGTACCTTAGTTCGATCTTACCGCAGTCCAGATGCGGCAGGCAGGCTCCCCCGTCGACTCCACGTACTCCTCTCGCCGAGCAGGAGTACCGGAGCCGACGGCGAGCACTTCTGGGTTCGATTTATCGCGTCCAGACAAGACGCGATAAATCGAACCCAGAAGTTCGATTGCTTGCCGCCGAACCAGCGGCAAAGTATAGACGTACCCTTAGGCTCTGAAGTGACTCAAGTCACTTTTGTAAATGGGACTTGGGCACGTTTGAAAAAGTGACCCAATATGTCTATACTCCTGTATATACATTTAGAGAAGCCACCAGGCTGTGCACCTAACAAAATTATGCATCCCAAGATGCACCTTTCTTCCTTCTCCATTGTTTGTTCCTATCACTCAGAATGTGTCTCTATTTAGGTTGGAAGCAAGCAAATCTTTTTAATCTTTGTCCGTATGGTGCCTAGCACATATTTTGAGCACGCAAGGAATAAATTATACTTACCACATTGCCAGTGCAGGGGAGAAAGTGTATGTGCTAGTAAATAAGGAGCATGTTGAAACTGATGATGATTCATTAATAGCTGAGGGAATGTAATGCTTTTTGTAAATGTGTCTTTGATCAAAACAAAAAAAGGGGAAGAATTTTAAACAACAGATAAAGAAGCAAGGTCTTGTAAAAATATCTACTGATTAGGGCTGTCGATTAATCGCAGTTAACTCACGTGATTAACTCAAAAAAATTAATGGAGATTAAAAAAAACGAATTGCGATTAATCCCACTGTTAAACAATAGGATACCAATTGAAATGTATTAAATATTTTTGGATGTTTTTCTACATTTTCAAATATATTGATTTCTACTACAACACAGAATACAAAGTGTACAGTGCTCACTTATTATTTCTATTACAAATATTTGCACTGTAAAAATGATAAACAAAAGAAATAGTATTTTTCAATTCACCTCATACAAGTACTGTAGTGCAATCTCTATCGTGAAAGTATAACTTACAAATGTAGATATTTTTTTTGTTACATAACTGCACTCAAAAACAAAACAACATAAAACTTTAAAGCCTACAAGTCCACTCAGTCCTACTTCTTGTTCAGCCAATCGCTAAGACAAATAAGTTTGTTTACATTTACGGGAGATACTGCTGCCTGCTTCTTATTTACAATGTCACCTGAAAGTGAGAACAGGTGTTCGCATGGCACTTTTGTAGCTGGCGTTGCAAGGTATTTACATGCCAGATATGCTAAACATTCATATGCCCCTTCATACTTCTGCCACCATTCCGGAGAACATGCTTCCATGCTGATGATGTTTGTTAAAAAAATAGTGCGTTAATTAAATTTGTGTCTGAACTCTCTGAGGGAGAATTGTATGTCCCCTGCTCTGTTTTATCCACATTCTGCCATATATTTCATGTTATAGCAGTCTCTGATGATGACCCAGCACGTTGTTTGATTTACGAACACTGTCACTGCAGATTTGACAAAATGCAAAGAAAGTACCAACGTGAGATTTCTAAAAATAGCTACAGCACTCGACCCAAGGTTTAAGAATCTGAAGTGCCGTCCAAAATCTGAGAGGGACGAGCTATGGAGCATACTTTCAGAAGTCTTAAAAGAGCAACACTCAGATGCGGAAACTACAGAACCCAAACCACCAAAAAAGAAAATCAACCTTCTGCTGGTGGCATCTGACTCAGATGATGAAAATGAGCATGCATTGGTCTGCTCTGCTTTGGATCATTATCGAGCAGAACCCGTCGTCATCAGCATGGACGCATATCCTCTGGAATGATGGTTGAAGCATGAAGGGACATATGAATCTTTAGCGCATCTGGCACGTAAATATCTTGTGACGCCAGTTACAACAGTGCCATGCGAACGCCTGTTCTCACTTTCAGGTGACATTGTAAACAAGAAGCGGACAGCATTATCTTCTGCAATGTAACCAAACTTGTTTGTCTGAGCGATTGGCTAAAGTAGGACTGAGTGGACTTGTAGGCTCTAAAGTTTCACATTATTTTATTTTTGAAGAGGTTTTTTTTGTACATAATTCGACATTTGTAAGTTCAACTTTCATGATAAAGAGATTGCACGGCAGTATTTATATTAGGTGAATTGAAAATACTATTTCTTTTGTTTTTTACAGTGCAAATATTTGTAAAAAAAACTAAATATAAAGTGAGCCCTGTATTTTATTATTATTTAATAGTGCGATTAATCGTGTGATTAATCGCGATGAATTTTTTTAATCGTGCGATTAATCGCAATTACTTTTTTTAATTGCTTGACAGCCCTACTATTGATAAAGAGCGGCTATATCAATCCTTGGAAACTCTGACCATGTGTAAAGCAACTTGATCAGATTATATAATTCCAAGTGTATTAGGGTTAGCTAATGAATTTATTATTATATCCAAAAAACTACATTGAAAGAATGTTAAGGTTAAAAAGTCAAGCACTCAAATGCTAGGAAATGCCAGAATTAAGGATGCCTGTTCAGCTGGCCAGCCCCGCCCCCCCAAAAGTGGGCAGTTCTAATAGTGCAACGGGTGTGACAAGGAAGCCTTGGAGAGATGCTAATTCAGCCTCTGCAGGTGGCCACAAATTAAAGCTGTCATCCCCTGGTAGAACCCCCAGAAAGGATGTTCATGAAAGCCATTACCAGAACAAGACTAAGGAAGGAAGGAAGGAGAAGGGTTACTAAACTCCGTTTGAGCAGTTGAGTATTAATGAATTTGGAAAAACAATTTCAACATTTATCTGTACAACACAAGGCACAGTCAGAATATCAATAACAACAACAATAATAATAAGCACTATTGCAAATCCAAAACATTTTGTACTGATAAATGTGAAACTGAACCAGGTATAAACAAAAAGTGTTTATTGTCCAAGCTGAGCAAAATGCAAAGAATAGACAATTTGTAACAGTAAGAAGCAAATAAGTTTATTCAGTCTGAAAGATGTATGAAAATAATCGGTGTTATTAAAAACAGTGCTTTAAAAAAAAAGAATTTTTTTCCTGACACTGTCCCTTTAAAGTTTATATTGCAAGCACAAGGCTTCTTTTTTCTATCTACATATTTTTGATTATCTGGCTTATTTTTTTATATACATTCCTCTGAGTCAGGTAACCTTTGAGCAGCATGAAGGAAAACAAATGGCAGCTGATGCAATGGTTCAGCAGTATGGATTCAACATGTCATTGAAAATACAGTATAATGGAAAATAATTAAAATGCATAAATACCTCTTGATGGTTTCAGGGAGATCCAAACTAAATGGAATTTGATATGACAATGCTAACGTGTCATCTAAGGCCTTGCTTATTTCCTGTAGCTCTCTCAAAGATACACAGCTAAGCAAGGCAGTCAACTCGCAGTCCTGCGACTGAATAAGCCTATCTTGCTCTTCAATGTCTCCTCTTAATTGTTCATCTTTTGCTTCTAGCACAGCCAGCCTTGCTCTGAGGTCTTCAATTTCTTTCTGTATGGAGTAGAGGCCAAAGTGTATTCATTAACCTTGTTAAGGAAAACAACTCTGCTGCTAATAAAATGCAGTATATTATAGGCAGTGCAGATGACAGTCTATAGTTAAAGGTGCCAAGCACTTTCCATTATAAGACTTTTATAAGGAACTGAAAATACTTTGCCAAACTTTGACCGTTTGGTCTGAAATTTTCCATAAACCCTGGGTGTCTGCCTGAGGCTGAATTTTTTGGAAATTTTCAGCAAAACCAGTTTCACTGTTTCTCAGCACAAAGTTAGGGGAAAATACATTGTTTTACCTGTGTTAATAATTTCTTATAGACATTTTATTGAGATGCTCTAACACTCCATGCTCTGGAGCAGGCACTTGAAACTTGGCTGGAGGTCAGCCCTCTGTCAGAGATATGCCTTTTGCCATCCCTGTGAAAATCTGCTGAAATCTGGCCAAGTTATGGACCTATGAAAATTCTCAGTTTGCACATGCTCAGTAGAGACTTGTTAGAGTTTGGCAGCTAAATTCTCTGAAGATTCCATCTAGACTAAGCATTCCATCTACATCAGTGCTGGGCTGCAGCAGCTGAGCAAGACTTTCCCTGCAATTGCTCCTCCCATCTGCCAATGTGGTGTCAGGCAGAGGAAGAGAAAGAAGGGAGACTCTGTCTCCTGTGCATCAATACTCCACAATTTTTAAGTTTGTAAAAAACATAAGTAACTTTAAAAACCCTACATTAATAAAACATTACAAGGTTGCAAAGTCAAGCACTCTTGTCCAAACTTAATTCAGCCCTTTGTGCATTATCATAGTCTTTAATGACATGATAACGCATTAATTCTCAATAGGACTCCTGTGTCATTTTGTGCACAGGATGGATGGTGCTCTGGGAAGGAATCAGGGCTGTGCAGTTAATGAGGCTGTTGACTTAGCACCACTGCCTCATTTGTTGCAGAAGTCGGAAGGTGGGTAGCGAGCAAGGCAGAGGATTGCACAGAAGAGAAAGAATGATCTCATTGTCTAGACAGCTGAATTCTATCCTTGCCTGTGCCACACAGTTTCTCATTTTCTGGGTGTCTAACACCTGGGGGCTCTGATTTGTAGAAATGGTAAGTGCTCATAACTGCAAACAAAGTCAATTATAGCTGTGCTTTGAACACATTAAGTGTTATAAAATGATGCATTCTCTGTAAAATCAGGCCCTAAGCATCTCAAAATGGGCACTGAAAATTAATGTGTATTTTGACATTAATTAAATGTGTCTTAATTCTCAATCTGTAAAATGGGAATAATACTGCCTTTCCTCCTAGGGGTGCTATGCAGATAAATTCTTTAATGTTTGTGGAGCACTCATACTCTAATGATGAGCACCATAGAAAAACCCATGAGGAAATTAATAATTCTGTATTCAGAGCAGGGTTTGAATAGTGTGTTGGGGCTACACATTGAAGGATAATGAGGATAAAATGGAACATTGAATAGCTGTTCATTCAGTAAGCACTGTTGAGCCTGTGCACTGATTGAGGCCAGGGTCCTGTCAAAAACATAGTATGTGATCACATAATTAAAGATTGTGTCATAATGCATATACACAAGAGGGCTGAATTAAGGATGCAGAGGTAACCTAATTTCCTAATTTCTGAGAGCTTGACTTTGCAACCTTAACATTCTTTTAATGTAGTTTTTTGTATATAATTTAAATGTTAACAATATTCAGAAGGGCAGTAATGCTCACTTTGTAAAAGGCATATTTTAAAGTTTGCCAGATAGTAAAAATTATTCCAACTTTATATTTGTATTACTTAGCATAAGAAGAAACAGTTCTTGCACATTAAAGGACCAAATTAGCTCAAAGAATTCAACTTACTGCAATGTTGCACAGTAGATGCATCAATTATTTTCTTTTTTCTTAGAAGTAGCAACAAGAGAACAGAGCAGCTGATGTTTCATCCCACAGGCATTTGTCAAGGAGATAACAAAGGTCAGCAGGCCAAAAACATCAGTTTTGTTTCTGTGAGTCTCAAATCAGGTTTTTAGTGTGCACAAAGAACATTTCCTTCTCTGTACTACTGGTCTGGGAATACTGCCAGAATTTTAGTTAGCCTCACTTAATACAAAGCCCTCCTCATTCTTTGAAAATGTACTAACTGTAATGAGTGCAGTAAGAGACTTATAAGGGAATGTACAGGAAGATGAACAGAACTGGTTTTATAATACAGTTTTCATATTCAAGGTATCATAAAATATTGTACACTACAATTAATTAGATATTGATATTGCAGAGCCTGCATAAGCAAAAGAGAAAGCTACTCTACACTTAAGAATAGTTCACATGCATTCTTGGGGGACTGAAACCTATTTTTTTCAGAATGGACATTTTGGCTAGTAAACTGCAGTTATCTCCTGCGCTTTTCCAGAAGTGTCATGGGATCTTTAATGTGCTCTTGGGCAGCCACGCGAGATAACAGAAAGGACCTTAATTTAGCACTATCTAAGAAATTCTGTTTCTTTAATTTATATGCTTCTCACCTCACCTCTTCCTACCACGGGACACACTGAACAAAATTATAAACAAGGAGCCCTGAAGTAAAGATCAGAAGAGTATGGCTGCAAGCCTCTAGTTAGCCCTCCAGGATAATTCATTCTGCAGTGTAATCACTAAAATTGATCAGGAATATTACAGAAAAGAGGGTTTCATTCTTAGGCAATAAGGAATAGAGCCTTTTGGGTGGTGGGGTTATGAAGAAAGGATCTAACCTATAGTTGAAGAGTTTGCAATTATTTTTACACAAACATTACAGCAGCAGCCATTTAAACAGTTAACATTTGTAACCATTACCACACAGATGCTTCCTATTCTAAATGGAGAGGGAGACCATGGTAATCTCAAGTATCAGTGCATAGTTACTATTGGCAAATGCTGACTTTTTAATGAATCACTGTGTCCTTACAAAATGTACGGATCATCTTTCATGAACAAAAGCTGGCAAATCACATACTGATAATCAAATCTGAAAAGAAGTGACTAGGAGATTGTATTCTTCAAAACTCTCTTTTTGTCTTCATATAAAAACTTCTAAAGATCAGTGAAGCATAGAGAAAGCAAATCAGACCTGTGAACATAAAGAGTATACTTAAAAGATAATGAGGAAAGCTAAAGCATGCACATGAGCAACTGAGCCTTCAACTCCTCCTTGTCTGTAATGAGATTCACACTACCCCGGCCAGTCATCACTGAGATAATCAGCTGGACTACAGCCAAGTCTCTAATTGCTGCACAGAAGCAGTATGCTATACTATCAGTTTGTTTAATTCAGCAAGAACGCCTACAAGCTACATTCCCCCCCCCCCTCCCCCACTAGTGGTTTTTGCCACGACTTTACTTTTCTTCTTACCTGCAACCATTGCTTTTCTTGAAGAAGCTGGTTTCTTTTTGTGGTTGAAACCTGCATCCTCTTTTGGTAAGCAGGACTCAAAAGCTTTTGCTCATTTTTTTGCCAGAGCTGTGCTTCTTCACTTTCAACCCTTTAAAAATGACAAACATTTATATTTAATGCGACTATTGGGTACTCAGTTCTGGAAGATTGAAAGGAAATGTACCGTGCCACCCTAGGAGTTGTGATGGCCCATCATCAAAACAGTGTCTTAATCTTTAAAACAACATTATTTAAGAAACTAGAGTGCTTTTTCCTTTACATATTCCCCTTATTTTATCAAACACTGACTCTGTTTTTACAGCATCTCAAAGGAAAGAGGAAGAAGATGACTTGTATAGCTTCAGGCTTCCCCCAGCTATTTTATTTTTCAGCATATTCACTCATCACTGTCTTGGATGAATGGCTAAGGAATGCAATTTTCCATCACCATTGAGAAAAATCTTCAGAAATGAAATTTAGAAATTATCTGGAGCCGTTTCTGAGGCTTCTGTCAGCTTTTGGAGATCACACTAGAGATCAGCCAGAGTCTGTGCTATATGATGCCAACTTTGGCCCCTCTCCTATACAGAAAGCTCTTTCAAATTTACAGTCAGTGGGACTCTTCACAGTAGTAAGCACTATGCTCAGTAAGAAATGTTTGTATGATTGGGCCCTAAGGTAATCAATACAGTACATTAAGTGCCAAATTTATAATGGCACTTAATGTACTGCAAATACAGTACATTATGAACCTGCAAATAGTGCAGACATGTTTTCTTATGTATTTCCCTATATTTGTGCAAGCAAACGAGTAATAGCATTTCTCTGTCCATTTATGCATACAAGTATATGTGGGTTTTCCATAAATATTACAGGTGCATTTTTAACATCTCACTGAAAAACTGTGGTCCCAAATAAATACATCTGTCAAGGACAAATTTTCAAACATGACTTCTTAAGATAAGCCTGCAAAATTTACTTAGATATCTGTTATACATAATAAATATACAATTAATTTGACTGCATGCATAAATGAGTATCTTGCACACAGAAAAGGCAAATCATATCCATTTTGCAGACACATCTCAGATGCAACAGCAGCAAATTCACATGGCTATGTTGCTGCCATGATTGCATGTAGAATGGACTTCCATCTTGAATGGCCTCTTGTAAATCCTCCTTCAGCAATAGTCAGCATGGGAGATTTTAGGCTTACATCCTTCAGAAATGCATCTTCCAACCTCATTGATAGTCGGCCTCATGCTCTACTTCCTTCTGTAAAAGCACACCTTCTTCTGCACACTGGACATGACCCCACTTTTGCAGTCATCTTGTTCTGAACTGGTGCAAAACTAGAGCTTGCCAGATTCATCTAAGGGTTTCCTTGTTTGTGATAAACCATTGGATGTTAAGAATATGCTGTAACTTTGACACTGAAAACTGTTTAGTTTCCTTCCTCAGCTGTTTTAACAGCATTGTTTCTGCTGCATATAGCACAGTTGTCATCACTACCACGTTGAACAACTGTATCGTAGTTATCACACATACATCCTGCTGCCCAAACAGCCTTTGAAGACACTGAAATGCCACTGACACAAAACTGATCTGATGTGCGACTTCTTCGGATATAGAACATCCTGTTGTCAATTGACTATCCAGAAAACTATTCACCCATTCAACATCATTGCCATCTACATGCAGCGCCTGTAGGTTGTTCATTTCCATTTTATAGCTTTGGTTTTATCACCATTGATCTTAAGTCCACAGATTTTGCAGTTTTCCACAGCAATTCCAGCACTAGCTGTAGTTGGTCTGTAGTTTTTTCCAAGTAAAGAAACATGATCCTCTAAGGATGAATATTTAAACTTCATACCTCCTACTTTGGCTTCAATCACCTTTATCATCACATAGTCTATTTGAACATTAAATAATGTAGGTGAAAGAATGCATCCCTGGTGTACTCCTTTTTCTACTTAAACTAATCTATAATATAACCGAAGATCCTCACACAGCTAAAAGTACTGTGGTAGTTTCTTCCCTAGGCACACCAAGTCCTGAGGCACCCCAAATTGGCATAATAGTATCCACAGTACTGATCAATGCACTAAGTCAAAAGCAGCTGCAAAGTCTATAAACACAGTGTTAACTTTCTTTTGTCACTCTATTTGTTTTTCAGTAATATTCTACAGAGCATATTGTCACAGAGTTTGGGGGAAACAAGGCCCTGCACCCCCAGCTTCCTGCGATTCACCATGACTCTCAGCCAGCCAGTAAAACAGAAGGTTTATTTAGACGACAGGAACACAGTCCAAGACAGGTCTTGCAGGTACAGACAACAGAACTCCCTCAGCCAGGTCCATCTTGGGGGGCTAGGGAGGCCAGAGCCCTGTCTGGGCTCCCCTCCATTTTCCCAGCCAGCTCCAAACTGACAACTCTCCAGCCCCTCCTCTCGCCTTTTGCTCTTTCCCGGGCCAGGAGGTCACTTGATCTCTTTGTTCTCCAACACCTTCAGTTGGCACCTTTGCAGAGGAGGGGCCCATGCCATCAGTTGCCAGGAGACAGGGTGTCGGCCATTCTCTGTGCAGGCACCATCGCACTGGCCCTCTCGGGCTCTGCAACAATCACACCCCCTTATCCCACCACCTAGATACTTAAGAACTGCATAGGGGAAACTGAGGCACCCACACAGCACTCAGAGAAAACATTAAGAACATTCTCACTTTGTCACACATATATAGCATGGATCTTAGATTGACTTGTATGGAAACCACACTGGTTGTCTCTTTTTTTTGGCTGACACAATATATCAGTTAGTTCAGTAGTAAGACCATGAACACCTTCCCTGGGACTAACAGCAGCATTATTTCCCTACAGTTTGAACAAACTGATGACCCCTTTTTTTTTTTTTTTTTTAAATGATGGCAGCCCCTTTTCCAATCTTCTGGAATGCACCCAGTTTCCCAAACTCTAAAGACAACTCTATGAAGCTAGTGAACTAAATCCAGGCCACCAAACTTTAGCAGATCTGATGGAATATTGTCAAAACAAGGTGCTTTATCATTTTATAATTGTTTGACTGAAAGCATCACTTCCTCTCACATCACCAGCTTGTTTTTTGCTGGATTCATTTTTGAATTAAGTTGTTTACATCTTGGTGGGGATCTGTTTGAGCAGGGGGTTGGACTAGATGACCTCCTGAGGTCCCTTCCAAC